AAGGGCACTTCTGATAACAACTTCTGATTGCCTGAACATCTTTCTCTACCAATTCCCCACTTTTAGCAATGTAAGTTTGTTCCAAGCATCTAAATTTTCTCCAGTTTTCAGTAGTGATGCTTTTTCCTGAGTTCCTTTGGGAATGTGAGGCCACCTTGCTTATGCACAAAATGTCCATTGCCTGTATAGCATAAGAGCATTTTCCTCCCAGATTACCCTGCACATACCTTCCACTGTGGGAGGAGAAAGAAATGCATTTCAACTTTTGGTCCTTCTAAGAGCATCCCTCAAAAAATGTGTGTGTTAATGGAGAAGGAAGCAGGTGGAGCAACAGCCTGGGTAAAACTTACAGTGTGGTGTTTCCTGGACACAAGGATCAGCACCTTCACCTCTCTCTTCTTGGGGCAGTGGCGTTCAAACCCTACGGATCCCTGTTGGAGTGAGCTCCCAGCTTGGAGCGGCTTCCTGCCGCTCCCTCTGCTCTGTTCAGTATCTCTGAAGGCCTTTGTGTCTCACCTGGACACAGAGTCACATTGTGACCTCTCCGACACATTTCATATTTCTCAGAATCAATAACTTCCGATGCACTCGCAGGAATAGCGAGCAGTCGATAAGTCCCGTCAGGTTCCGTTAGGAGGAGACGCGCAGTGCTGGAAGGATGACATTTCTTAGGGAACTGCTCTCCAGGCGTATTTGTTGTTTCAATCAGTCTGACTGCAGGGCTCAGCCAGGGGCTGCAGCCTGGAGCACTCATGTAATTTGATTTTAAAGCTGCCATTCGGGGGCTGAGGGAACAGCACCAGTGGTAAAACCCCTGTGTGGCAGCAGAGCCAGCAATCCTGGCATGCTGATGCCCAGACCTGGCAGGGAGATCCAAGGGCTCACGTCTCCATCACCCACATTTCACATCCCACTGGAACCCCTGGTTTGCTCTCCTGGCTTTGATTACCAGTCCCCTGGGGTAAGCACAGAAAGGTGGGAGAATGGTGGTGTTTTTGCAGAACTGCTGCCCTGAAGGGATGTTAAAAAAAAAAAAAAAAAGAWTTTTTTCTGATTTTTCTGATTTTTTCTTCTGACTGAGAAGTGTCAGACTGGAGCTTGAGGAGTCAGCCTCTTCACCTGTCTGAAGGCTGCCCACATTTCCCCTGCCAGAGCTCTCAGTGCAGCACCATTCCTTGGCACAAAGTGTGCTCTTTGCTCTTTAAACTGTCTTTGTGTCCCCATATTGCTCAGTCCTGCAGCTGAGAGAATCAGACTGTGCTGGTGGGGGTAAGAGGTTGGACTGYGAACACTAGGAAGGAATGTTGGCTAATTCACCCTGGTTTTGGAGATGCTTAAAAATTGCAAGAGGCTAGAAAYTATTTAAAAATAAAATTTATGCATAATGAGTCAAGGCATAGCTCTGCTTTTAAACCATGAACTGCTGGGAACAGAAGCTTGTTTCTGTCCTTGGCAAATCAGAGCTGTATCTCTGTTATTGCTCTCTGGGAAGAGATCTCTGTGCTCTCCTCTGACAGCTGCATCACCAAGGTCTTGTCCAGACTTTTGCAGTGCTCTCAGGTACTGCAGCACCACCTTTCCTGGCAGGAAGGTACTTTGGGATGCACCACAATCACAGTGTWCAGACTCTGTGGCCAAAGAAATCCCCCAGGACTCCAGGCATCCTTCAGCGGCACGAGCTTGGGGAGTGCAAGCCCTTTGGATACCAGATCTTGTTACTTTACTTGAAAAATTTAATTTTACAGCTGTTCAAGATTGTCCCTTTGTCAGATGACGTGGTAAAAATGAGGAAGCCCAATCTTTCCTCCATGAAAACTCCATTATGTTTACAGAAATTCCTTCACAGAATCTGAAGGGATGATGGGTTGGTCTGAGCATTCCAGTTGGAGGAAGCAGAGCCAAAACTCCAACTTTAAAGGGCTGTCTGAGAGTGCATGAACAAGATCATTACAGCACACAGGACTCTGTCCCAACCTATTGTCCAATGTCCTTACTCTTTCTGTGGCTCATTGTCTTCACTACATCACAGCAATGATGTTTTGAACTGTTGAATGAGTGGACTGAGGCAATTTTGTTCATATTTACTCTTCTGTCACAAGGCTCTCAGAGCACTCTGTGCCTCCAGCTCCTGCCCTTTAAAGCAGAGGGATGCTTCAGCCACTATGCCCAAGCAATGACTCATGGAATCATTGTTTCTGTATACTCAGTTTTAAACACTTAAAATCACAGGCTGAAATACAGACCAAAAGGAAGGACACTTGTAGGAGTTACAGGTGTTGACACAACAGTTGAGTCTATTTGGTCTCAAGTTCTATGGGTGGACTTGCTCATCTAACTCTGGCCGATCTATTTGTATCTCTCACAGGTAATGTGGCCTTTTCTTTCTGTTTCCAGGAGTCCCCCACCATATCTGACTCCAGCCATAGGACCCAACCTCAGCTGACTCTTTCAGGGCACAGAAAGGGCCGGGCTGTGCTGTTGTTGGTTTCTGCCGTGGGCAGAGGTGAGGTGTGTAAGGTGTGCTGGGATGGGATCCCCAGGAGTGATGGGCTGTGCGTTTTCCAGGCATCCTCTGCTGTTGGTCTAAGGTTGTTTCTCTGATTTCCCAAGCCCAGAGGCAAATGACTGTTTCCATGTGCTAAGCATCAACTCTTTGCCTTTTGCTCTTATCCTTTCTCCTCTCCACGGTTTTCGTCTCCCTTTGAATTCTCTCAGACCACAGCAGTCTCCCTTCCCCAGGAGAAATGAGATGCTGTTTCCTGAGCACTGAAGCACTGGGACTCAGGAGATATGAAAGGTGGCCCTGCTGCTCTACCTCCAACACCTCTCCATGGTTCTGCTTTCCTTCTGACCTCCTGCCAGGATAACCTGGACTAAATCCCCTCCACGCTTTTCCTGTGCGATCCTACGGTGTCTGCCACAACAGGACCCAACCTCAGGTAAGACCTTTAGGCACTCCATTACATGAATGAAAACAAGATTGTTGGTGTCAGTAATTAACATTCTTGTGGGATTGTTGGAAATGCTTTGGGATAAACACCACCTGGAATCCTCGCCTGGCTTATGTGGTTTTTAAGCAGCAGAGGAGACTGATTCTGTTCGCACGAGAGGGCATGGACCATCTGTCTCCTCTCTTACTGGGTGTGCAGAGAGTCTTTGAGTCCAAAGATGAGTTGCRGTAGCTCAGGGAGAAGTGGGACACTGGAAAAGGGAGGGCACGGACAGTGGGGAAGAAGAATGGAGACTCAGTGGTCAGTGTGTCCTCAGGAATGATCTCACTTGAGAACAATGACCACTGACAACCATCAAAACAGGAAAATACAGTCACTGATAATGCTGTGAGCACCTGTGGCGTGGTGTCATCCCATGACAGGCTTCCAGAGATGAAATCACACTCTGCTGACATGGATGGCAAAAATCCCCTTGACTGTGATAACATCAAGCTTTCCCCTTGGGGGTTACCCGCATTTCTCTCCTTCTGGGTGCCCAGAGAGCCAYATCCCACATCATTATGCACATCCTGATAACAAATAGATTACCCTTTTCTTTTGTGGATTGGATTCCAGTAAACCCTGCATTTTGGATTCTAGGTTCCCTCCATCTACCTCTGAAATCCCTAAATAAACAAACATCGGATTAGACCTCAGCAGCTCCCTTGCTCATCGAGTGAAGTCTTTAAAAGCATTTTACACSGACAGTCTTGCTCGCATTTCAGACTCTGTTAACCTCGGACTTTGGGAGCTCCACCTTCCTCTTAGATGTCTCAGGGAACTCACCTCAGTGATTGGAAGGTTTGMCTCTATTTATGACCCTCCCTGACTCCAGTGAGGAGCTGGAATTGCTGTTGACACCAGGAATGACAGAAGTACRTGCTGGGGTTGGAGGGTTTCTGGCACATGACCTGCTAACCTAGAATTTGCTTGGCAAAGTCCAGAGGGTGACTTTTAACCTCAGAGCAGTTTGCAAAACCACATCTGTGACCAATAAATGTGAAAAAGAAATGAAAAAAAAATCTAGCCCCTACTGAAGGATGAAAGACAGCACACCTTGCTGGGCACTGGTGCTGGAATCAGGATGGTGACAGGGAGTAACGGGACAGGTCATGTTGTCAGAAGTTGTTCGTGGATGGAGCCCATGCCTCACATAAAGGAGGCAGCACAGCAGGTTAAACTGAAGGTATCTCATAGCTCTAAGTCTTGAACTTAATGAGCCACATCTTTATTTGTGCTGCAGCCCCTTCTTATCCCAAACTGCCTTAACCAGCTGCCAGAGGATGCCCGGGAACGGAAAATTCTCCGGATAACAATAAATTGGTGTAACGATTCAGTGTCACCTCACATCCTGCTAAGCAATAGAGAAATCACGATGAGAAAAATAGGCACGACCACAGTGGCACTGAACAGTGGAATCCTAATTCCATCGCCCTTCTTGTGGGCGACAGATAACCCAGTGCAATTTACAGCCGCTCTGAAGCGGCTCCAAGTCTCAGCAGGAGTCAGGAAAGCTCAGTGTAGCCTCGGGACTGAGGAGTCAGAAAGATCAGGGGAGTTGTTGTTCCATAACCTTGCCTCTGCACCAAAACAAGGGGGCTGGTTTGGAGTGGGAAGCACTCCAAGCAAAACACAAAATGTTAATCACTGAAATGAAGGTCCTCCTCTGGATCCCTCTCTGGAGAATAGTCTGTCTCTGATGATCATGCACAGACTCCCAAAGAAGGTAAATTTTGGATTTAAATCTGTACATCAGCGTGTGAATGACAGCATTAAATCTTGGCTGTAAGGCTGAGATATCTCCAAGAAGAGGAAAACACTTTTTCCACTTAACTGGCTGAGGTAGAGGAGGTAAATATATTGTCTCCCACTATTAAAGGGCGAGGAAATAATTTACACATGTGTATTACACCTTTGCATCTAACAGTGGTGCCTTTTTTAAATTCAAGAGTCTAAAAGTTTAGAAATACCAACATTAAGGTGGCCTATGTGACTATAATTTGTCCCTTCTGTGCGTTTGCATTATGATATAGTATTTAATTGTAATTAGATCACACGCTGTTCCTTTGACAGGCTCCCGGGCTCACTCCTTGTACAGAATAGACTGTGTTCGCTACGTAATAATTTTATTTTCTCCTCGCTGTTCACTGTGTGGCCCGTGCTTTATTTACAGCAGACTATTCAAATATTGTTCTGAAGATAGATTTATTCATTTCCTCCTGAGCTTTTCCATGGGACTCATCACTATGGTATCCAAATGCTTCACAAACTCTAATTTATTTTCTCAACACTGGAGTGAGAACCGGTGTTGCCCTTATTTTACAGACGAGGAACTCGGGTGTACAGACGGAATAATAAAAAATATCTTTTCATTTCAGAGATCCAATTAGAAATACTCAACGGCCTGATTTTGTCAGAAAATAGAACATGGCCAAGCATCTAATTGAGTCAGAAGTTGTATAAATTCTCAGTTATAACAGATTTATCTGCAAGAACTCTTCACTTCTGCACGTCAYGCTTCAAAATGTCAGCCTAAGCACCTGGGCAGTGCTGACTGCACGGTTTGTGCAGCGCTGGGTAGGCTCTCTTTAGGGATTGTACTTTGCATCCCACAGATGCCTGAGGCTTTCTGGGAGCAGCAGTCACCTGCCCCATCCACAGTGCTGTGCTTGCTCACCTYGCAGTTCCTCACAAGGTGCACAAAACACCTACATCTGATTTTTACAGCAAGTGAGGTGGAAGTTCCTGAGGCACTTGCCTGGGTTCCCTGACCTTGGTTCAGTGTCTGAGCCTGGCTTATCCTTCTGCTCTGTCCGCCTTTGTCCCGCTGTTTGATACCTGGGGCATGTGTTACTGTGCAGCCTGGGTACAGTTGGTTTATTGAATATGTTCTTCCTTCCCATGTAGAGAAAATCCCAGCAATGTAATCCCRGGCTCTCATTGATGCAGGCCATCATCAACCTGGAAACACTATGAGGGATGCCATGGTTGGCACAAGCTCCAGCACTCCAAGTGGGTGAGGTACGTTTTCAGCATATTTCAGGTACCTACTGCTGTTTTTCAGGTGGTCTTCATTCCCATTCCCATTCCCATTCCCATTCCTTTCCGCTCTGCATCCTTTCCTCAGTCTCTGTCATTCCCATTCCTACATCACTTTCTGTAGTGAATTGCCTCTTCCCATAGGCCCTGCTGCATCCCACACGCAGCCTCGGGGTCCTCCTCCTTTTGCCCCACTCCAGCTCTTCCATTCAATCCCTTTTGCCCGCCAGGCTCTACCTCAGCCCTTGGTCAGACCATAGGGACAGGTCCTGGTCCTGCCAAGCTGCACATCCTCCTCCTGGCAACTTCTCCCATTTCCACTCTGACTTTAAGTCTTCTCCCAGCAGCCTGGCTCCCAGACTCTTCCTTATGAGCTTTGCTTTATCCCTCTATCCAGGTAGACCTGGTTTTCCTTCTGGCTCCTCATTCCCTTCCACCACCCTGGAGAATCTCTGTGCCTGCCAACTTACCTGTCCTGGACCCAGTTCCCATCCCCACTGCTTGTTTTTCAAGGAGCTTCCTACTCCTTCCTATGTTTCTCAAGAGGACTGGAAGGACAGGTTCCCTGCTCACCCTTCCTACCTGCAGACTTGGCATGGTCCAGAGCAGCCGRGAACTGGAGCTGCAGGTCCAACTCTGATCCCACAGCCCTGGGCTGTGATGAGGATGAAGCTGTTGTGCAGTGGAAGCACCGGGAAGCCCCTGCTGAGCACCAGTGGGACTTTCAAGAGGATGCTCATGGTGGGGTTTGACAAAGTGACGTGTGACAAAGCGACCATTCTCATTTTCAGGCTGGAAAGATCCCTGACAGAAGGAAGAACAGGAGAAATTTTTATAATTTAACCCAAGGTATGAACTTCAGATGCTTAAATTTCAACACAGTGGTTAGTCTGGCCCTATTAAACACAACTGAGGGTAGAATTTTATGATGGGAATTGCTAACCAGCTTTAATAGGAGTTACACTACCAGTCCTGCCTTTTAATCACCGCTTCCATTCTCAGGATAAATTGCAGCTGGTTGCTGGTAATCCTTGTGGCATATCAGATAGCAGCGTAACTCGGCAAGGGTAAGCTGGAGAAACCCAAACATCCTTCTGAGGAGGTAATTATTCCATTGTGAAAATGCCCCGGGATATTTTTAGTGGCCAAACCCCCCGTTTCCTGACAGAAACATAAAATAATGAAGCAAATTTCACAAGGAGAGATGCCTCAGACACCTGTATGAGCTGGTGCTTTGCAGTCACGCCGGTATTTAATTCGCCGTGTGCATCCCTGTGTCCCTGTACAGCAAAATCCACACCTTCGTTTGGGGCACTGCGCACCCTGCCAGCGTCTGCCTCGCRGAAAACCCTCTCCATAAACAAATCTGCAAATCCCGCTGGATCAGGGAGAATTTCACGGGAATATAGAGCTGCCTGCAACAAGARGGACACCCTGGCCACACACACCGAGGTTATCAAGGGAAACTTGCCTTAAGGGGAGTCTTGCAACCAGCGTAAAAGTCTGGGTTTTGTGGAACAAATGATTTTAAATCAGTTTTTAAACATTTTGCAACGTTTTGCGGGGAACGTACCTGTGTTTCACACACCATGGTACCTCAGGGTCCAGTTCCCTACCRGTTACCTCCAGCCCTGGCCCCACATAATTTATGTCCTGAAAGAGACAATCCAATTAGTCAATAATAAAATGAACAAGGACACCGTGCGTGTTGTAAAAATATAATTTAGTGGGTAACAAGCTGAGATGGAAAAAAATATCAGGGTACACTCCATATGATTAATGAAGGAGGAATGTATATTTATAGCTTTTACTGTGCCCTTTGTAAGGAGACTGGATCTGGCAGTAGGGCTGGAACTGGCTGGTAACAATGCGGCATTCCTGTGATTAGGATTTGAATGGCAAATACTGTATAAAACTAATTACACCCAGGAGGATGAAAATACATTTAATTTGCCTTTTCGGAACATGTCTGGCCTTTTCTTCACGTTATTTATCTTTGAGAAGCATATTTACTGGGAGACGCGGCATCCCGAACGGAGCAGCAGAGTTGCTCCCAAAGAAAACAAGTTTCCCCAAGTTATTTTTCTACATTTAGTTCGATTTCGGGYTTCTTGGCGGCTCCAGATTGCTGCTTCCCAGAACCACGGCAGAGCAGGGCCCCCGCTTCCCACACCCTCCGGCTCGCCACATAGCGGGGATACCCGGATCGGTGCCGAACCGTTTGGTTTTCCATGTTTTTACGCGTGGAAAACGCGCAGGTCCCGCACCCACGTTGGGTCTGGTCCTGGAGAGGGGAAACCACAGATTTATTTGGTTAAAACACAACAACTTTACGCACCGAACGCCTGAAGGGAGGGGGCGCG